ACTACAACTACACAGTACGTAGACAGTACAAATACCAACCATGCTAAAACTATACCAAAACATGAAGTTTAAGGGATGGTGCGTTTTGTAAAAACTTTTTTATAATTATATATGTGTTTGTATTATGTTAGAAATAAATAGATGTTGAATCCATTTAAAAACCATCCATTTTTTCTGTATATTACATACAGATCCTATGTGTGTCAGTATAGCAAACACTCTGACAGTTCAGCTTGGACGAGAACCCGATCTAATACCCGATGATTCACTGACCTTTCTGTCTGGTAACGGACTCTACAACCGAGACGTGCCTTCTGAGTTAGGGTCAGAGGTTACGGGAACAGTTACAGTAGAAGAGGCTCTCAGTCCGGTAAGTAATGGATATAGAAAGGACACTGGCAGTTCGGTAAGTGATGGACATATAAAGGACACTGGCAGACAGGGAAGAAAGCTTAGTCATATTAGAAATTGGGATCAGTTGGAAAAATTAAGTCAGCTGTGGTGTCAAGCGGAATTAGGCCCAAAATATTATATGTATGAGAATAATCCGGTAGATAGTGTTACTGGTAGTGCAGGACAGGATCAGTCCGGTAGATAGTGACAGTCGTGGTACAGGACAGGATCAGTCCAGTAGGTAGTATCACTGGTGATACAGGACAGTATCAGTCTAATAGAAAGTGTTACTGGTGATACAGGAGAGGATCAGTCCAGTAGATAGTGTTACTGGTGGTACAGGACAGGATCAGTCCGGTAGATAGTGTCACTGTTGATACAGGACAGGATCAGTTCAGTACATACTGTCACTGTTGATACAGGACAGTATAAGTCCAGTAGGTAGTGTCAGCCGTAGTACAGGACAGGATCAGTCCGGTGGATATTGTGACTGGTGGCATAGGACAGGATCAGTCCAGTAGGTAGTATCACTGGTGATACAGGACAGTATCAGTCTAATAGAAAGTGTTACTGGTGATACAGGAGAGGATCAGTCCAGTAGATAGTGTTACTGGTTGTACAGGACAGGATCAGTCCGGTAGATAGTGTCACTGTTGATACAGGACAGGATCAATTCAGTACATACTGTCACTGTTGATACAGGACAGTATACTGTCACTGTTGATACAGGACAGTATAAGTCCGGTAGGTAGTGTCAGCCGTAGTACAGGACAGGATCAGTCCGGTGGATATTGTGACTGGTGGTACAGGACAGGATAAGTCCGGTAGACAGTGTCACTGATGGTACAGGACAGGCTCAGTTCAGTACATACTGTCACTGTTGATACAGGACAGTATAAGTCCGGTAGACAGTGTCACTGGTGGTACAGAACAGGATAAGTCCGGTAGATGGTGTTACTGGTGGTACAGGACAGAATCAGTCCGGTAGATAGTGTCACTAGTGCTACAGGACAGGACCAAACCGGTATCTAATATGAGTTGTTGTAGAAGACTGTGTCTGTTAGATAGGTGACTTTAATTATGGTAGCGGACGCGAGTTCGAGTCCTGTTCCCGAACATACTTGCTCCTTCAGATTTGGAGGCGTTATAATGTGACCTTCAATCCCACCTTCAGCTGGTAAAATAGTAGCCCAAGAATTGGTGGTAGATGGTGTTAACTAGTTGCCTTTCCTCTAGTCTTTTACTTTTAAATTGGGATGACTAGCATAGATAGCCCTCGAGTATCTTTACGCGAAATTCCAAAATTAAATGAACAAACAAACTCTTAAGTATTGCAACTATAATAAGATGGAAAGAGTAAAACTAAGAAAGAATAAAACATTCATTACACTTTATTACTATGAGTATATTTAGGGAAGGTCACAAACAACAGTTTAATAGTTTTATACCTGTTCTATATCTGTGAATAATTATTTTTAAATACTTTTAATTACAGTGAAATTTAAGTGGTACAATGTCTAATGTTAATAAAATCAAGTTTTTTTTTTGGACAGTTTACTCCATACTTCGACCTATTTGGTCCTAGAGAGGTTTGTGGAAGAACTATTAACATCACGGTGATTGACGTCACAGCTGACGCATGTTATGAAATGGATTACTTCAGGTCTATCTTCCCGATTGACACTTCAGGTAACGTCTGTTTGTGTATTAAACATACGTGACACTTCAGGTAACGTCTGTTTGTGTGTTAAACATACGTGACACTTCAGGTAACGTCTGTTTGTGTGTTAAACATACGTGACACTTCAGGCAACGTCTGTTTGTGTGTTAAACATACGTGACACTTCAGGTAACGTCTGTTTGTGTGATAAACATACGTGACACTTCAGGTAACGTCCGTCTGTGTGTTAAACATACGTGACACTTTAGGTAGAAAATAACACGCTTTTTATATCTTCTGTAATATTTTAATTAGATAAAGATTTGTTAATAGTTAATTTAGATTGGTGTATGCATATTATTACACTGTTAGTCTGTGTATAATTTTCAGATCCAACAATATATCATGGACTTCACGACTTGCAAAGAGAGATTTTACAAAAAAGCTCGAATGTGGACCAAAAACTGTTGTCATTTTCAAGTAATCAGGTTAGATATATTCTTGATATCACTTGAAGGTAAATCATTGTCGTGATCTTATCGCGGTATATTATTCGTAACTGTAGTCATTCTCAGTACAGTGTTACGTTTCATACTTTAACCTTGCTAATCCACTGTGTTATCCTACTTTAATATGGTTGATACAATGTATTATCTTACTTTAACGTAGTTGATACAGAGTACTATCTTAATTTAACATAGTCGATCCACTGTGTTATCTTAATTTAACATAGTTGATTCACTGTGTTATCTTAATTTAACATAGTTGATCCACTGTGTTATCTTAATTTAACATGGTTGATAACGTATTGATCAACAGTGCTATCTGGGATCTTAAGAGATGTAAAAATATCTGTAGACAATAATCACAGTTTGACGTGAGTGTTTTGATGATATGTTATATGCTGGTTCCGTACAGCTCTGGGCTATGTATAGTTCGAGCTTCACAGGTACTTAATCCATTATGTTTTAATATATGCTCATAGAATTTCATATTGTAGGAAATACACAAATAATTCACCTTGTATTCTAAAGTCATTACTGTTGTTATTTTAAAACTTTTGACTAAATCTTATACTTGTAAAATAAGATACAATTAGCAATACAGTCGATCTACCTGCTTTCCAAAAACAATGTTAAAGCCTTTTTTTTAGGTTTAGAGGGTTAAAATAACTACCATTATATAAAATTACTATTTATAATACAATGATACAATAATACAATGATACAATAATTCAATGATACAATAATACAATGATACAATGGTACAATAATACAATGATACAATAATACAATGATACAATGATACAATAATACAATGATACAATAATACAATGATACAATGATACAATAATACAATGATACAATAATACAATGATACAATAATATAATAATACAATAATAATATTATGATAAAGCCTTTCTTTAGGTTTATAGGGTTAACGTTATTAAGGAGTAAATACTGTATT